CATTCTGTGTGTTAAGAGTGTACGAGTGTACATGTTCTTGCTTGGCTATTTTCTGTGGCAGGTTAATAAATGACACTTATTATTCCTAGCAGTAACAGCCTCTGTGTTTTATTTTTCCCTATTTGTCTGAATATCTGTGCCGACCGTTCACGAGCCCTTTTGATAAAGAATTTCATAATACAACGTCCTACTGGGACGAGGCCGCAGCCGGTTCCTGGTAGAATAAGGGCGCCGGTTCCCACATTCGCGCCCATCTCCAGAGTGGAGGGTTTCACCTAGCGGAAATTCCCTCGGTGCCCCCCTGGAGCCGAGCCTGGCGGAAGCTTTCGGAGCAAAGATGTCCAGGTTGGACACCAGCGTCCTGCGCCTCCGGGTAAGCATAACCAGACGGTGACGTCGCTCTCCAACCGAGCTCACCAGTGTGCGTTCCAGGCGGCCGCAGCAAACAATACGTTACGCTGCTGGCTAGGCTGGACGAGACGTAGCGCTCCCTCTGCAAGGCAGCTTACGTCATCCTCAACCTGTGCGCCTCTTTTGTTGTCTGCCGGTCTCGCATGGCAGCTGGAGGACTAGGCTTTCCAGAGGTCCACCTGGCCCGTCACTCCACCTCCCTCTCGGAGGAGCTACAGAAAGTTTTTTTGTTGGAGGGCCCCCATCAACGACGAACGCGCTGTTCGGGACCATGTTCAAGTCGTTCCACCGTTTGCGGAGGATGTGTGTAAAGATGACACAAGTTTTTGGAATAAAACATAATTTAATGATGAAAGTGTCTGTTTTTTAGCCAGTCTGTCAGCTCGGATGACCTCACAGCGGCTCATTCACACATCCTCCACACAAAACGAGCCAGTGGCCTTTAAAAAAAAGGGGTTTCAGAATCACCGTTGCTCCAAAACAAGACGAGACGCTCTCATGACACAACAGTCGTAAGCGAATGTGGTCTGCAGAACGAGTTCAGTGGAATAACTTGTTTTCAGCCCGAGCTGCACACTCCTTATCGAAGCGGTGTCAAACGCGCACTCTCGCGACGCGAGCAGCCTTCACCCAAATGGCGCTGTGTTGATGAAGGCGCGCACACAGCTCCCCAGCGTTCACCAGCTCGCATCAGCATAAATGTGAGACCGCAGAATGGGTCCGGTGAGAGACCTCGCTCTCAGCAAGCGCGGCACGTGCCTCACTGAAGCAAACGCTTTCTTCTGCGGCGCTTGCAGCCTTCACTCAAACGGCATGGCATTGATGAAGGCGCGCTCACCGCTTCTCAGCGCTCGCCCGCTCACGACAGCATAAATGTAAGACCGCAGAACGAGCCCGGTGACGAACCTCGCTCTCAGCAGGAGCGGCGCACGCCCCACCAAAGCAACGCGTGCTTCCGCGGCACTTATAGCCTTCACTCAAACAGCACAGCGTTGATGAAGGCGCGCTAACCGCTTCTCAGCGCTCGCCCGCTCATGTCAGCATAAATGTGAGACCGCAGAGCGAGCCCAGTAAAGGACCTCGCTCTCGGCAGGAACGACGCGCGTCTCACCGTAGTGATGTCAAACGCGCGCTCCTGCGGCGCCAACAGTTTTCACACGCCTCTCCTCAACACACGCCGGTCCACATAGACTTGAATGTGGACCCGCAGTCCGAGCGAAGCACAGAGGTGCGCTCAGAGCCCTTTCGAGGATGCCTCTCCTTGGGTCACGCGGAACACACTTCCGCAGCACATGACGGCGGTCGCAGCGGTAGACTGGCTGACATCCATAAAAACATGACGCATCACCTAAACGCGCACCCACTCCACGAACGTTATGCGGAGTGTCTGCGAACATGCTCGCCAGGCAGATGGATGACCAGGCTGTTAAGCAGGGGTTACACGCTGCAATTTGCAGCCCGACCCCTTCCGTTCGGAGGAGTTATAGAGATGGTCCTGTCATCACCAGACCAGGTCTCATCCCTAAACGCAGAAGTCCAAGAACTTCTGGTAAAATAGGTGATCGCCAGGGTTCCCGACGGAGAGGAAAACACAGGTTTTTACTCACGTTACTTCCTGGTTCCAAAACGGACCAGAGGAATGAGACCGATTTTGGACCTGTCAGTTTTCAACAAGGCGATCATGGACAGACCGTTTCACATGTTGACAACCAGACAACTGTTGGACAACATCCAGAGAAACGACTGGTTTGTTTCCATCGATCTGAAAGATGCCTACTTCCACATACCGATCATCCCAAAACACAGAAAATTTCTGAGCTTCTCCTTTCAAGTGATGCAGTACCAGTAAAACAGGCTGCAGTTCGGGTATTCCCTCGCACCTCGTACGTACGTTCTCAAAGTGTGTGGAGACGGCCCTGCAACCGTTACACAGAGCAGCATAAATGAGAGTTTTGTTTTACCTAGACAACCTGTTGCTGCTGTCACACTCCAGACGGGAAGCAGCGATACAGGCTCAGGTGTTGACATCACACCTGTTAAATCTGGGCTTCGCCATAAATTGGGAAAAAGCTTGATTCTCCCGACCCAGACAATTGTTTATCTGGGAGTGGAGCTAAACTCGACCACCATGAGGGCTCGTTTATCACAGACGAGAATCGAAGCTCTAAGAGTCCAGCTGCACCATGTAAGACCGGGCAGAGTAGTAACAGCTATTTCCATCATGAAGCTGTTAGGAACAATGTCGCCAGCTCACACAGTGGCCCTGCTGGGTTCACTACACATGAGACGCCGCCAGAGATGGTTTGCTCGTCTGCGCGTGGATCTGGTAAAGTAAAAGAGATGGATGATCACTGTTCCTCCGTGAGAACAGACCTCCGACACTGGGAAAACACACTGGTTCTGTCGGAGGGAGTCCCCGTCAGCAGACCCACGTCACACGTGTCAGTCTTCACAGATGGGTCATTGTCAGGTTGTGGGGGGGGGGGGGGACATGCCTAACTCGAGCTGTAAGGGCGCTGTGGCCTCATCACACAACAGCTCATATAAATGTTCTGGAGTGTCGCACGGTTCTGAATGTGATCCAACACTTTGCTCCTGTGCCACAGAATCAACACGCTTTTGATTCACACAGACAACAAGGTTACTGCTGCTTACATAAACCGGCAGGGGGGTGTACGCTCAGCCCAAAATGTTACACATTGCAAGAAAACTACTGTGTTGGGCACACCAAAATCTGTTCTCCATCAGAGCAGTGTACATCCCCGGTGTTCTAAACAAAGGGGCAGATGTGATGTCCAGGTGCGGTCCGCGTCACAGGGACTGGACCCTCTATCCAGATCTGATGGCCCAGATGTGGCAGAAATTTGGCAAAGCAGCTGTGGACCTGTTTGCGACACAAGAAAACGCGTAGTGTCAACTATGGTTTTCACTGAGCCCACGACATGAACCACTGCTGGGGGTGGACGCGTTTGCTCACAACCCATGGCCCAAAACGCTTCTTTACACGTTTCCCCCACCTCCTCTGATATTACGGTTTCTGAACCGAGTTCAGGAGGAGGGATTGACAGCTCTCCTGGTAGCTCCGAGCACGTGAACGCACCATGGTTCCCAGTTCTACGACGCCTGTTATCGAGGCGCTCGTGGAAACTGCCGTGGAGGGAGGACGCTCTCCTCCAGGTGGGAGGAATGATCAGGAGTTACCCAGAAATAGGCCAGCACCTGTGGGTCTGGCCGCTGAGCAGATCCAATTAGAGAGGATGGGTCTCCCGCAAGATGTAGTGCGCACAATCTAGGATTCACGTGCTGCATCCACCACAGCGCTGTACACATCAAAGTGGACAGCTTTTCGACGCTTGTGTACAGAGAAAGGTGTAGAGGCCACCTCATGTCCACTAGGCGATGTGCTGTCTTTTCTGCAGCAGCTGATGGACAGAAATTTGGCATTCAGCACAATTAAAATGTACGCTGCAGCCATATCTTCCTGTCACAAAGGTTTTGGGGACAGAACAGCTTTTAATCATCCGCTGATGAAACGTTTTTTAAAAGGTGTACAGAGACGCAGGCCTGTTTCACACCCACTTGTTCCACAGTGGGATTTAACGCTGGTCCTGCGAGCCCCGATTAAAGCTCCATTTGAGCCTCTGGATCAGGTTCCAATTAAATTCTTGTCTTTTAAAACAGCCCTGCTGCTGGCTTTAACATCCGCTAAAAGGGTGAGTGATTTATCTGCCCTCTCTGTCGCTCCGTCATGTCTCAGAATTCAGGCTGACGGCAGCTCTGCTGATCTAAGACCAAATCCAGCTTTTATGCCTAAAAACATTACAAGCTTTTTTAAATCAAGAACGATATCGTTGGAGGGGTCCCCCCCCCACACACACACACAAATCAGAAGAAGAAGTATCTTTCCATCTTCTCTGTCCTGTGCGGGCGTTGACATATTACATAGCTGCAATGCGTCAAACTCAGCATTTGTTTGTGCATTATAGAGATGCATCTGCAGGCCGCCCGTTATCCACCCAGCGCTTGTCACACTGGCTGTGTAAGGCCATTTCTGAAGCCTACAGAGCATCAGATTTAGAGCCTCCTGTCAACTTCAGGGCACACTCGACCAGAGGTATCGCATCTTCAACTGCTTTGCATAATGGTATGACAATGCAGGATATTTGCACTGCGGCCGCATGGTCAACACCCTGCTCATTTATTCGTTTCTATTTACGTGATGTGACGGCTCGTTCCATGACACATTCCGTACTTAGTGTTTTAACAGAATGAATATTGTTGTTTCATGGAACCCCGTTTAAACTCACATCTGACTGCATGCATTATCAATCAACCTTTAATTAGACAGGTAAATCCCATTGAGCCTCGAGGACTCGTTTACAAGAGAGACCTGGTTTCAACAAAGAAAGAGGACAACAATGGACAACAGCAACAACAATAAACAATTATAAAAAGTCATACTGACGTGTTTTTTTGTTTTGTTTTTCTTTTTTTTTTTTACAAATAAGATGGCTAAAAGGAAAAGGTAACAACAACAAAAAACAGCTAGATTCTAAGGCGAATGTAGAAAACTAAAAACAGGAACATGTCTGCATTGGTCCCTGCCAGGAGTCCAACAGATTCTTAAAGCCACTTAGAGAGGTCAAGGTCAAGAGCTTCAAATATTTTTGTAAGATATTCCAGGAAACAGGAGCAGAGTAGGAGAAGGCCCTTTTGCCTAGTTCAGTCCTCATTGAGGGAACTTTGCAGGTAATAATGTCCTGAGAGCGCACTCCGTAGCTGCACTCACGCAGAGACATGTAGGAGGAGATGTATGAAGGCAGCAGACCAAGAAGTGATCTAAAGATGAAAATGTGCCAGTGAGAGAGTCTGCGTGAAGTTAATGATGTCCAGTTAACCAGTGAATACAGGGTGCAGTGGTGGGTACGATAATCACAGCCAGTTATGAATCTTAGTGCACCA